GACATTTTAATAGGAATATGAGTACTGTACATACTCGAGTATAAGCCGAGGCGGCTTTTTTCAGCCCAAAAAGTGGGCTGAAAAACTAGGCTTATACTCGAGTATGTACAGTACTCATATTCCTATTAAAATGTCACGTGCCCATTAAAACATTCTATGTTCATTCTACAGGCAAAGAATTGTCTCTCAGTAATCAATTGTTGATCATCAAATTACTTACCAACCATATCAAATCAATACCTATTATTTTCTCCTCCTTTAATGTATTTGACTATGATATGACTATGTATGTTAAATACAGCATTGCTCTACAGATGTGTTTCCTAACCTTGGCCATCTCGGAATTCTTTTCAATGGTCATGCTAGCTGTGGAATTCTGGAAGTTCATACATCTGGAAATAGCCAAGGTTGGCAACACTGCCTTATAAAAGTCAAGAAACTAGAAGATTTTTTTAAAAATATTCATTTTGCATTATTCAACAATCAGATTTCCATTGAAATCAGAAAACAACTTTTCTCTCATATGGATAATACTTTTTAAATTAGGCCAAGTACATCATCTTCCCCATCTGCCACATTCATGAACCAAAGGTGTACTAACCATTCCTCATCCCTGCAATCTTAATTTCAGCTAGTTTTCTTTAGGCCTCTTAGATTCTATAGCCCTAGATGCAGCTTTTAACTTGCCTTCTATCAAATCTCTGTCTTAAAATAATTTTCTTCTTCTACTCGGGCGATTTACTTGAACACTAAATATTTGAACATTTTAAACAAGTATAGGCAGAAACAACTCCACTTCTATGTTAATATTTAATCTTTAGTTTAATTTAATTTAAACTGGCACTTAAATGACACCCAGTAAATTAGAGTGATTACAAATTGTTAAAATATGCAAATAAACAGCAAATATTCTGTTCAAAGATAATCTGCTGGTAGTCTGCTTTATATTCCAGATCTTTATATGAACAGGAAAATCAAAAAAAAATTGTGTTACCGGTATATCACAAGCTGTTATTTTCAATAAAATAATTATCATATTAGTTTAGAAGAGTCTTGACAAATTTTTAGATTTGATAGAACTGCTTCTCATTCTGTTACATCATCATATTTTTTTGCAAAAGATTAAACCAATTTATATTAATGCCATTGGACGACCTTCTGTAGCTATATTTGTAAAATAGTTTCTCACAGCTTATTTTGTCAGTGTACAATGTCTAATTTTTGGCATCACAGTAACAAATCTAAATGTTCCAGAAAACAGGGAAAGAAAGAAAACCACTCAACAAAGATGAATAGTGAAAAAAGTTCATTGCTATGCCAAAGCATTAAAAGCTGCTTCTTAATTTCCATTAGTCTTCCTTATCAGAAACCAAGAAACATTCATTTATCCAGGGTTTTTTTTCTTAATTCTTGAGAGAGGAAACAAATTATTAGTCAACATAGGCCTGCTTTGGCACTGTTAATTTGGAAGCAACACTTTATCATTTAGATATAATTATATATTTGTACATTATATTGTATATTTTATATAAATATATACAATATATATATATAAATTATACGTGCACACACATGCATACATAATGTAAATGCTGTATTTCAACATTACATAGGTTACATTTTAAGATCAAATTACTCTTCTCTAGTAACACTATGCCTTGTGTATTTATGCAAAGTTGTAAAATAGTAAAGATTGTTCAAGATTAAATATATTTCACTTAAAGCAATTATTTTTAAATTCCTAATTTTATCTTACTCCTTTTACTAAATGCCACTCTAATTAGCTCTGCATTGTTCCTTAATCAGACAAAAACAATTCCCAAGAAAAATCTCATTTTAACTGCTGCCTTCAAATGGAGACGTTTCCAACTAGCCTCTATGAGCCCATCCAGCTGTGAAGTGGCAACTTGCACTATCAGTCTAATGTCACTGAATTATGTCCAGAAGGCCTTTACAAAACATCCCTGCATTTCATCCTTCAGCACCGAGTTTTCTTCAGCTTTGCTTCTTTACACTGTGGGAAAATGGAAATTCAACTTGGCTCTTTTAGTGAGACTTCACTATAGGCTTTTGGGTGGCTTTATTGATGGTATTGACGGTAGGAGCTGTGGTGGTGCAGTGGTTAGAATACAGGATTGCAGGCTAACCTTGCCAACTACTAGGGGTTCAATCCTCACTGTCTCAAGGTTGACTCAGCCTTCCATCTTTCTGAGGTCGATAAAATGAGGATACAGATTGTTGGGGGCAGTATATAAGCAGTATATAAGTAATTGCTATTGCTACCTGCACTACCAGAAAATGCATCAGAGGCATAAAAAATAGCATACTGATCAAGA